GGAGAAGTGGTGCCTTGGGGCGCGCCCGGGATCCAAACCCGGGCCGCCAGCATCAGAGCGCGCGCACTTAACCGCTAAGCCACGGAGCCGGCCCTGAACTTCTTTTATATTGAAATACAACCTTTTTCAAAAAATGGCCTAAAAAGCAAAATTTAAATACATGCTCAATAGTTTCTCAAATCTCTTTTCTTCAAAAGAAAGACTGTCATTGGAAGTAATTTGGTAAAATTTTTTTGGGAAGCATGGCCCCAATTCTTCCATTTTGTAGGAATTTTTACTTATTTTTCCTCAGTATTTTGTGTTTTTAAAAAGCAAGAGAACACTACTGCTCATTTATAAAATATTTCCAATGTTAGTAAAATTCTATCAGGAAAACCTCCCTCAGAATTCCAACTGACAGAATTTAGTTATGGTGACTACACTGCTACATGTCACTATCTCAGGAGCATCTGATGAAAGAGCCTTTCTAAGGTAAACTGCCTGATATCTGAGCGTCACAATTTTACCTTACCCTGTTCCTCTTCCACTCTTTAGGCGCTCTGTAATCCTAGGGAGATTTGCTTTTTGAAAGAAAGCCAGGGTTACTTGTGGCCTCATGGGGGAACAGCATAAAAGAAAGTTATTACATAAAAGCAGGACAAAGTACTGCCAATTGTAGTGTAAGCACACCCCTTCTTCGGCATGATACAGACTGAAGCTGAGTCCCAGTTACCCTCTAACTCACTGTTCTTGAGTTGGAAGGCAGACAGCCACTGAGTTGTAAATAAAAATAAAAGGCTTTTGGAGGAGCTCCACAGGGCTCTGGAAATTATCTAATCTTATAAGGAAAACCAAAAGTAGAAAAGTTAACCCACAAAATAAATATAAAAATTCTAACTTCTTTCACTCAGTAGGAAATGTTAGAGGTGTTAGCAGATTTCTCTCATAAAGATCATTCACTCAGGTTTCTATACAAGTTTTTATGCAGAACAAACTATACCTGAGCACAATAGCACAAAAACTTAGCTCAATTAATTGGTCATTATTCTGACTGTTCCCTTCATACGCACCTACTTGTACTTTTTAATGCATTGCTTTAAAGCTACGCCATAAAGTACCCCATTATAGCTGACAGACTGGACAAATTGATGGAGAGATCTCAGAACTATGCTCCTAAACAACATACCTTTATGCTGATGCCCAATCTCTCAAAAAGTGAGCAAGTAAAAAAGAAGCACTTGTAACTTGTTAGGAAAATTAACAGGTGAAATCTTCTATCTCTTTTCTTACCCAATACACACGTATCTTTTCTGGTGCTAAGTTATTAGCTACAAAAATATTTCCCGAACCTTTTTCCCGAACCTTGTCATAGTTATCTATGTCAGTGTTCCTTACACTTTTTTTATGCCAGCCCACAACATGACTTACTACACAAATAACCTCTAGTGAATGTGTGAATATGTGTATCTAAACAAACCAAGTTTCATAAAACAACACTTACCCTTATTATCAGAGGATAACCTCTGAAATTTTCTAGTCTAATCTATTCTTTTGTTTTTGCTACTCATAAATGGGGGTCATGAAATACACTTTGAAAAACACTAATTTATGCCATAATTGTCCATTTTTCATGTAAACTGCAAATTCCTCGAGGCCAAAGGGGCTAGGTTTTTTTCAGTTGTGTTGGAACATAAGTCATACTGACTTGTGTACCTGGACCTGACACAGCATGCTCTAAAAATCTTGTAGTTGACCAAATAGGGTGTGGGATGATAAAAGGTGGCTGAAGCTTAATAAAAAAAGAGACTAGTGAAGGTCTTCTAATCCCCAAATGCCTAGTAACAGAAATATCACACATTATGGTAGCAATTTTTTTCTTGTTTTAGAAGCCAAAAAAGTAGTTTATTAGTCTCGATTTTAAATATCCAATTTCTAACAGCTCTATAGTTGCAGGCCATACTTTTGCTATATCCAAAGGTCTGCTGAGTGCTCTCCAAGTCGATATATATAGCGAGAGACTCTTGTGATAATCATCCTGGACTAAATAGCATTCAACTACATGGTGTTCTCTTTACTACCTTAGGCATTAACTGTCCTTCCTAAAGCCCCCAAAGTAGGGGAAGCTATCTCTACCAAAGAAAATGCTTCCAGTATATGTCTTTAGGGGCCAATATTCAGTGTACTATAGTATTACCTTAATAACATCAAGATTAAGAAGGTTTTTCCACCGTGACTCAGGGAGGAGTGATAGAGTCACCAACTGCTCATTCAGCTGTTCTGGGGAATCATACTCTATCATTTCATCACTTGGTTCTATGGTTTCTTCTGATAATTCTACATCTTAAAACAAAAAAATTTCAGGTAAAACAACACAAAATGAGATTTTTATTAAAAAGCAACTTAATTCATTCCAAATCCATTAGTATTTCATAACATGTTCATTCAATGTAGCCTTGTAAACTCTACTTCCTTTCTTTATCTTCTACAACTCCCATCCCCAGACCCAAAACACTTCTCTACTGGTATACTATTTGATATCTTATCAATATCACATCAATTATATTTTTGTATAAATTCATGAAATCATTAAAAGTATTTCATATCAGTTAAAAAATATTTAGACTGAATGCATTAAACTGCTTTTGGTAGCAATAATTCCCCATGTTAAGTTTATGATATTACACTTCAAAAATTATTTTACTATTCTGTGATTACCTTGGGTTTGACAAGTACCAGGAAGCATCACTACTGAAGGAACATAATCTGCAGGAAGTGGTCGTAATGAAACAACTGAATACAGGGAGACATTGGACCTGAGAAATAAAAATATAAGTAATATTTTAAAACTTATAAAAATAGTTTTTTCAGAGAAAATTCAATTACTAGTAATAATCTCTATAATCTTGAATTTGGCTATAGATTCCAATCACCTGTAAATTAAAAAACAAGATCTCAAAGACAGAAAGTATTAATTTGAAAACGCCTTGATTCATGTTATAGATGTCATCACAAGAAAGATGCACACAAACATTATTAATGGAGTATTTTTAATGTAGTACAAAAAAGTATTTATTTGTGATATCAGTAATGGATAAGACTTTTATAAGGCAACATAACCTCCAAATATTTGTATTGTTTTGACAAATGTCAACCTTCATTTAAGGAAATTTATAACCAAAGGAAAGATGGACTCAGAGAGTTAAGTCAGAAGGCAAATATGCTGATCAGATCCTTCAGGCTGTTGAACAGTCATGGATTTCCCATTCTCTAGAATGGTCCTCTAAGTGACCATGTTTCTGCTATTTGACCCTGCACCATGGCCTTAGATGACTATTAAGATGGAGATACCTGTCCCAAAGTGGGCTAATCAGATTCTCTTTCCCACACATTATGAATCTGGAATGGAAAATAAAAATTGGGAATATCAGGTTCTGAGTTATCTTAATAGCGGTACTATATACTGTGGCTGCTGAGGTCCCACAGCTACAATTCTCCTCGTCTTCATTTTTCAAGCCTCATGGATTTCAGGAGATACTCCATTTTGCTTATTAAGGTGGCCAGAGTCAACATCTATTATATAGTTAATTTACTTTCATATCCTAAAAATCTAATTATAAAATTTTATAATTAGAAAAGGAATTAATTTCCCTTCCTCAATAATAAGAGTTAAAAGAATTAGATTCTAAACTCAGGAAATAGACAAAAATTTTTCTAGACCCAGATGACGTACTGTTTATTTCGAACTCTTACATGTTGATCATAGTGGAATAGGAAGATCACCATAAATATTTTTACATGGTTATGAAGAGTTACACAACTAGAATGAATGTTAGAAAGCATTTTGCCCACATTTATGCCTTATTTTATAGATGAAGTAGGCGGAAGCTGAGAAAAGACGGGCCAAGGTCATAAAGCGACAGTGGGGTAGTGGCAGGAAGGCCAGGGCCTGGCTGGGGACTCCTTTTTTCTGATATTTTTAAATTCATTTATCCTTTCTACAAATAAAAGCCAAATATGATAACAGACAAAAATCAATCCTGTGGTTTAGAATACACACTTGAGCAAAGCTAACTAAATTATCAAGCAGATACTGAATCAGTCATAGACTTATGGTGAATTTAACTCTCTGTGTTAACTACGTGACATTTCCATTCTATAAATTAAAAAAAAAATCTAAATGTCACTGTTAGTCTGATTCTCTGACATCATCTTTCTTCTCCTTATTCAAAACAGAACTGCATGAAAGCACTTACCACAGATAAATTCCAAGGTGGTCCACATGGGAAGTAGCCAGAAAGTCTCCAGTAGGGGACATAGTAACATTGAGAGGAGCTGAGTCCAGCAAAAAGCTGTCTATAAGGCTATAAAAAAGGAATCAAGACATTAAAGTATTTGAACTCTCCCCAAAAGGATATAATTCACTAAATATATTTTTGCTAAAAGAACAAGGAATAAGAGATGCAGAAAATTTTCATTTTTGTTTTAATCACCAACACCACAAAGTCATCACTAACAAACAGCTTTGTCAACTAAGTTACTATGTGAAAATAATCTCTCTTAATGAGAAAGACGCAGAATACTAAATAGACCAACTAACTGGAGAAAGAGTTTCAACAACAGGGAGAATATAGTAGGAAATACTCTGCTTTTCTGGAATGCCATTTTGGTAGACTGACTTGGAGACAATTCTGAAGATGTCACACATTTAAAATAAATGTAATTATCAATACTCTCCTGTATTTTTGCTATTTCAGTGAAAAGGTGTAGGTAACAGAAGAAAGTAATAAAATAAAACGGCTGTAAATAAGAATAAGAGAATGGTAATGGAAAAAACTTTTGAGGAATTCTACCTGTTTCTCAAATAGGTAACCATGCTATACATGAAATATATGAAATTCAGTCTACAGAGCATAACCACAGAGCGGCTTATGGAAACTAGTCCCACAGCTTTAAAATGCTGGAGGGTTGAAAAGTTGGGAGAAAGGGGGAACAATCACACCCAGGTAGGAGACTCAGAATAGGCTTCTCAGAGAACACAATTTTTGAGATGAGCCTTACAAATGGATAAGATTTCAATGGATGTTGATGGAAGAAAAAGCATTTCCTAGCTGACAGAAATGTGGAGGGCAAGGCGAGGGAAAATACAATTGGGTTCAGTGAGGAGTGCAGTTTGGTGCCTAAGCAGAAGGCTGCGTACAGGGTCTTGAATACCAAACATATGAGTTCGTTTTTATCTTTCCATCAATGGAAAGTTACTAAAGGCTTTTGAGCAGATGGTGTAATCTTCACTTTCCTAAGAAAATCTGCCATCAGAATGAAGAATATATTATTGCAAGAGGAAGAATAATGAGATTATGGTAGTAGTAATCTAACAAGTAATGAAGATCTCAACTAGGATGGTGGCAGCAGTAAGTGAAACAAGGTGGATTTAAGGAGCAAAGATAAAAGCCTAACACAGCGGCACCCTGCAGGAGAGGCTTCTTAGGCTGGCTAAGAGTGCAAATACTTTGTATACTTTAAGTGGAGTATACTGGTTTTAATCACGGCTATTTTAAAAACTACTTTATTCACTGAAGCCAATAAATTATCGGTGGGAAGGCACAGCAAAATGACTGGAATTCAGAATCTACATTAAATAAAGCAAATTATTTCAAGAAAAAAATAACAGCAGTTAACATTTTTTTAGTGCTCCATGCTAGGAAGTATCTTGAGCACTTAAGTCTACTAATTTAATCCTCACAACCCTATGAGGCAGATCTGTCCTTATTATACAGATCAGAAAACTGAGGCCCAGTAAGATTTCAAAACTTGCTCAAGGTAGAAAGTAACCGAGCCAGGATTGTCACCCAAGAAGCAATCTGCACTCTTAATCACTAAAAACTCAGTAAAACCACTACTGAAACTACAGGTACAACAATACTCAATAGCACAAACACACTCAGGGGATGCCCACACTGGTGATTCACAGAACAAACTCTGAGCAGCTCAAATGTAAATGAAGACTCTCCAGTGAAGACATTAAGTGACTTGTCCATGATAAAATCTCTCTCTCAATTTGTTCAGAGAACAATTAACAAGGTAAACCTTAAATAATGAATGCAAGACAGGAAGATAAGACTAAAATTAGGAGTACAGGAAACAAACACACACTCAAGTGTGCTCAGGACAATGACTGCTATTTAATTCTGTTATGGGGGAAAAAGTGAATAACCTATCTGATTTCTGCTCAGACTTACTTTGGAAGCTCACAAGAATGGCTTCTCTTGGGGATCAAAGGAGTTGAGGAAAAGGAAACATTTGTTAAACACTTATTATATACCAGAGACTGTTAAATTAGTTATGTTAATTCATTTAATTCAAACAACTCAGAGCAGAAACATTATTCCAACAAATATAGATGAAGATTAAACCTAAACACAGCAGTTTCAGCTCTTAACATTTCTTCATCTTGATCAATATTTGTTCAATAAAAGTTTAAGTATGTGAGGGATGAAACTTCCTAACACATTTAGAATCTGTTAAAAAGAGAATCTACTGCTTGAGCAAACTTATTTTACTTGATACTATAATTATTTTGTCAAATTCATTGTGCAACTTGATTTCCACAGCTGTTGTGTGTGGGTAGACTGACCTTCCATTATATAAAAGCATCAAATTGAGGAAGGTGGTTTCCATATACACAGCACGTTTTATACTGCCACATTAGTTCACAAAGCATAAGTCTGCAGGCTTAATTATAGACCTAACTACTATATGGTCTCCTGCTAATCCCACAAAATGAAAAGTCCCAGGTAAGTTATAATTTCTCTGAGAGAACATTAATAAAATTCCCATTCTAAGGGATCAGATTTTCAAGCACAGAGCCCTGCATATACAGGTGACACTCAGTAAGCCATTTCTGATTTTACTCTGAACAAATGTAGAGTGTCTAGATGTTTAATCTCCAAAGTGATGGCATCGTCTCACATAGGAATCTTCGATGACTAGAACAAAGGGATGGTTTTGCCTCAGTGAAGAATGCAAAACAACATCCTAATCTAATTATTCTCACGTAATGCTGCTCAGAAAGCAGGGGTTGGGGGAGTGAGACAGAAAAAATACAAAATTCTATTAAAACTACTTAATTTTGTATTTTTCTTACTCCCAAAAGAGGTTAACCCGAACTTTCAATAGATTAAAAACAACCAGAAATAAAAGGTGGTAGTGATAGGGGATGACAGGTAATTTCAGGGATGAAAAATTTCAACTCTGCTTCTCTGAGAATCCTACAAACACAAGAAAGTTTTCAGCACTTTAAAAAAACCCTATGGGAAACAGTTCAGTACCTCTGCAATTTGTTTTTGACATGCACAATTCCAGAGGACACATCTGTGTGTTACCACACCCAAAGGTTTACTCATAGACAACTTCACTTGTCAGGATATGTAATGAATATATTTATTCTTTAAATATAACACGCTGTGTAAATGATGAAACTGCTTACTGAAGAAAGAACTAGGAATCTCCAAAGGTTGCTATACTAATTATCTTCTCAAAAAGACAAAGAATCGAAAACCAACAGTTACCTATGGTTATATGATAAAATACTGATCCTCACTTCCTTATTATCTTCTATATCAAGAAAATCAATTCATCCTTAGGACATATGACACAACCTGAGCAAGGCAGGCTGCTATCACAACTGTTGGGAAATCTGTTTCTTTTTCCTATGTTTATTACAGCAAAATGTCACTTACAAACTATGCCGCCTTGGGCAAATCACTTAACTTCTCTCTGAGCCTCCATTTCCTCATTTGTAAAATGGGACTAATAACAGTAATAGTACTTACACCTATTTGGCTATGAGGGAAGATGAAAAACAAAAGCATATAAAGCATCTAGCAGCTCATGGTAAATGTTAGCTTAGTTGCAATTAGGCAGCAGTTGTGTGATAATGCTTTTCAAGCTTTCTTATTTGCTCCATTTCAAATCTTAACCAAAAAAGTACTTATTTTTTTGTATATTAAAAATATACTTTGGTCCAATCAGTGTAGATATTATTACATTTTCTTTTAACAATCCCTATCTGACTCATTTCTTGCTTTTATGTTTCTCTCAACTTCATGCCTCTGTATTTACTTAAAATTGCCTCAGTATTCACCTAAAAATAAGATACTAGAGTTGAAAACCAATCAGATTTAAATCTGTTCAACTTTTTACCAAAATAAGAAATTCAGTAAGAAGGCCAATGCTGAGCCAAAGATTGGCGGCTTTGAATGCTACTTTCAGATCCTAATTCTCCTGTTCCCTAGATAAACTTACCACTTTTTAAAAATATTTTGCAAATTTAGTACTACTGAACGTTAACCTCTCTCTCCCTTGTAATGTGAACTAACACAACTAAAAAGGGAAATGAAAAGAGCATTATTTTAACTCTATTACTCATATAACTTTCCTATTGGAAAGTAATTCAAATTATACCATTTATTTTTAGAAAACAGTAAAAGTCCAAGAAGCAAGAGACTACCAATATTTCTAATGGCACCTTTAAAAAAAAAATTATGGAAGTACCAACTTCAGGTGAACTTTTTGAAGGTGGAGGACACAGCCAACTAATTAGATTCTGCTTTACTCTATTTTTACTCTATTTTAAGTGAAAAAGAGCCACACCTGTGGACGAAAGTCCCTAGTTATTAGAGCTGGAGCCATTACACTTTTTTGCAGTGCACAATCCAGATCGGGTGTGTATGCTGGATCGTTGGCTGTGCCTCTTTCCTATATGAAACTTGAAGGGAAATGAGGACAACAGGGTTTTCCCTTTCTAAAGGTCAAACTGTTTTCAGGTATGAGCTTATTTAATTCCCAAGAAAGGAAGATGAAGTAGAATTGGACAGAGCTTAACTCAGGAATATTTCAGAGAATTAAAAAGTATAATCTTCCTTCTCATTTTTCTCACCCATCTCTTTCCTTATGGTTCCTGTTAAATTAGACACCTCACTGTTCCCCTCATTCCTCCTTCTTTCAGACTCAATCTAAACAATTCTATGTTAACTGATACAATTTTAAATTGTATCTGTACCTACATAGTTTTTAACAAGCGTGCGTGCGCGCGCACACACAGACACTCTCTCTCTCTCTCTCTCTGTAGGTCTCCACTGTTCAAATTATTTAACAGAATTAGATAATATTTTCTCTTCAAGCGCTGTTTTAGTAGCAAGTTTCAATCTATGAAACATATTTCTGAACACAGCTGGGTTTTACGCACATCTTAAGACACATTTTCATTACTTCGTATCTAAAATGTCTTCTTTTAAGAATTTTGTTAGAGACAGAAAATATATAATATATACAAAGGAAAGTTAGGGTTTCTGACCTTTTAACTAAATTCAATATGAACAACAAAACCACTCAAAAGGAAAATTTGCAGTCCTAAAGTCTAAGCTCTATTTTGGAGTACCAAAAAGGCCAAATGAGCTTTCTTAAGGTTTATGAAACTCATTCTATATTGTATTTCAATTTTATAGGAATAGAAAACTTACAAGAAATTGCATTTTCCTCACTATTATCTTTTATGGCACTACTCCTTGCTGTTTAAGAGATCAAAAACACTCCAAGGATAAAATATAATCAAGTTAGAAAAATCTCCAAATATATATTCACATTCAAAAAGCACATAATCCATTAACTATAGGTAAAAGTCACATGTAAAGACAATGACTGAGCAATCTTCTGATAGAGGTTAGGGATTTAAAAATAAACTCACCACCCAGACGGAAGGTCCCAAGTTCTAACAGAGCAATCCATTGAAGCGCTTATTAACCAACGACCATCAGGACTGAAAGTCTTTAAATTAAAAAAAAAAGAACACATACAAATATATTACGTGTGTATGTGCGTGTATGTATATATACATATGTACGCATTTATGTATGTATGTGTGTATATTTAACAGCTTAAAAAATGCAAGAAATGAAAAGATGATGCAGGCTTCATGAAAAAAAAAGTTTGAGTAAAATTTAGACCACATTATTTTATATAAAAGAAAATATTTCTCAAACACCACTGATTTGGATAAATATGAGGATTAGGCTTTTTTTTACTATAAAAAGTTTTAAAAATTAACAGTATCAATTTTTAAATTTTCACTCCATAAACTCCTATATAGACAACTAACAAATCTGTTTGACTACAAAGCGTTTTTAACATAAAATTGCTATTCTGAGAACATTCAATTAGAAATATTTTGTTAGTCTAATTTCAGTTATAAAGTATGTGTAAAAGCAACAAAAGCTACATTTCCTTGAAAAGAGTCTACATATTAGACTGGCTTTCTAAGAATTGATCCAAAATGATTTTGAAGACAAGAATGCAAATTCTCTTAAAATATTCAAGTTACTAAAGAAGTCCTTCTGGGCCGGCGCCGTGGCTTAGCGGTTAAGTGCGAGCGCTCCGCTGCTGGCGGCCCGGGTTCGGATCCCGGGCGTTCACCGACGCACTGCTTCTCCGGCCATGCTGAGGCCGTGTCCCACATACAGCAACTAGAAGGATGTGCAGCTATGACATACAACTATCTGCTGGGGCTTTGGGGGAAAAATAAATAAATAAAATTAAAAAAAAAAAAAGAAGTCCTTCTACTTTTACTTGTAGCTTCAGTTAAAAACCTCCTTTTCTTCCTTAATGATGTTTTATTTCGCAAATATAATTTAAAACCACAATAATCAGATTTTCAAAATACATTTAAATAATAAATTACTTATGCTACCTTAAAGAAGTTACTATATCTTTTCTATCAATAAACATGGATAAATAATAGCTCTCCTTGCCTGCAGTATGTAAGTGTTGTAAGGCTTAAATCAGGGCAGATGTGAAAGAAGACCCAAAAAGAAAAACTTTAAGGTTTATGATGGCAGTAGATTGTTCATCCAGGAGTCTAAACGCACCACAGGGATTATGACCTATTTGCAAATGATATTGGGATAAGTAAACTGTAATTTGTTCAACAGGCTGCCGTGATACTGCGGAAACCCAAATCTTAAAGTATAGAGAAAGCTCAATTTACAGAAGGATAGTGCAGATAATAAAGGATGGGGAAAATGGCCCTGATAGGTAAAGTCACATTATAAATGCTCAGAGATTTAACTGAACAGAAGTAATTTATTACTGAGTAGGAGAAACTCCAGACATACAAGTTGAAAGTAACGTTTGAAAAGGAGAGAAATAGGAGGAGCTATTTGGCACTGACAGACAGTTTTGAAAATGCCACTTCATCAAAATTATTCCATCCCACCCTCATTTCTATAGATGCTGTCACAACAAATTCTGTTGATGGGTAGTTCTGCCAATCTCCCATTTGCAGAAAACAATTTCCTGACCATTTTCTTTTCCTTTTTTTAAAGGAAATGGGTAAACATTGCAAATTCTGATTTTTAGCATGAGAACCGATAAGTAAACATGTTGGGATTGCCACTAAATAGGATTTTATTTTTTTCTGTTTTCAAGTAAATCAAGGTATCTGCAATTGAGGCAAAATGACAATATAAACTTATATACAGTCTTCAACTAACAAATTTATTTTAAAAGTTCTTTTTTTATGAAACATATACTTTCTAAACTAGAGTACTTCTTACTATATCATATATCTCACTATAAGAACATAACAATAAGCTAAAACACATTTTTATTAATTAAACTCTGTCGGATTTAAGATACATAAACTCTAGAAATAACACTAAACTAGGTACCAAGATATTCCGAGTCTCCCACTATTAATTAGCTATGCATGTAGAAAAACAGAAATGAGTTCTCTCAGCCTAGTTTAATATTAAGTCAAAAATGATATACTCACGTTTCAATGCATCATTCATTCTCCAAAGTATATTTTGGCCTTGTTTAGAGTTTAAGAGAAAAAGACGAACTTTGGGATTTATATATTAATCTGATGGCATGACTCCCCGAGAAATATTAAACTTACTGTAATTGTAAATTTTCCTTAAAAATCTCCTCTTTGAAAATTAATCTCCAAATCATTTATTTTGAACATCTCATATGATGAGTTTAAGGCTATTAAAGGATAACAGTTGCAATTACTTGAACATTTTTAACCTAAATAGAAGTAGAAATGAGTCAAGTTTTGTTTAAACATCTAAAATTTGCTTTACCATGTCATTTATTTGGCCTTGGTGTCCAGAAAACTCTCTGACAATCTTCCTAGTTTCTATGTCCAGAACACTAATGGAGAAGTCATCCAAGGCAAGTCCCAGAATGCCACTAGCAAGATAAATGCATCAGTTTTAATAAAAAAACAAACAAAAACACCTTGAACTAAAATCTCACAGTCATTTTAATTTTGTTAATCAAGTATACCTTTGGGGAAATTAAGCAAAATGCTGTTCCTTTATATTCAAAGTCTGATTTTTCCCACTTGGTAAAGTATATACTTGAATTAGTAAAAAACACTTGAAGTCTTTACTTAAATTAAAAACTTTTACCAAAAACATCAAGAAAAAAATCCTTTATCATTAAAAGAAACACTTTACCTGTCTCTATGTAGCAGCATCATATTTGGAGATGACTCGAGGCTCATAGAATGGATTAAAACTTTGTTTTTAAAATTCCAGAACTTGAGTAATCCTTCACTACCAGCTGTGATGGTCAACTGGTTTAATCCATCCACTGCAACACCTCTAACAGATCCTTTATGAGCTTTAAAGCATATGTTAAAAGAAAAGATTTATCAGAATTGGCATTGTCTCTTTTAAACACTACACAAAGAGTGATTCCTTCATTTAAACATCTAAGTTCCCACTATTTATATTCCCTAAAATCTTGAAATTAATCTGGATTTTAGGGGTAGGATGAAGATTATTATATTGCTTGAGTAAAAACAAAATCCATCACTTTGAGGCCACAAAGGGAGTTTCAAAAATCAGTTAAAATTTTCTGCTTAAAGCAAGGAGAAGAAAACAAAAATTTCAATTGTATAATATCCACTTTCCCCTAATAAATCCGTGACTTCATTCATTTTGAGTATTTCAGCATTGTGTTTATAATACATGTAATGGCAGTATCTATACGCCATATTGGGTTGGTAAGAACCCATCTACAGCTTTGGCAAGATGCCTGGCACTCAAGAATTTAATAAATGCCAGCAAAAGTTATTAGGTTTGTATTTAGCTATATTATTTGTTTAAAAATAAGGAAAAAAAATTCAATACCTTGATCTTTGCCAAAACTTCCTCGATGTATACCAGACTGCATGTTATATACATCCACAGTTCCTGATGAGAGACCAATTATAGCAAAGTTTCCACAAGAAGTTATATCCACTGCCTTAGGAGAAAAAAAAATTTAAATACAAATGACATAGAAAACAACTAACAACTTTTATTGCACTTGATGGTTTCCAAACTATTTTTTTATCTACTAATTATCTCATTTTTTTTTAAAAAAGCATGACAAATGAATTGCTTTATTAATTTTCTTAAGCATAACGTAATTATATGTAAGTGTATAAGAAATATCTGCATGATTCTATCTCCATTCTCTAAGAAACATGAAGAAATTATTATCCAAAACAAAACACACCTAAGTTAACTGAATTTAAATTTACAAAGTCAGGAGAATTGTATACCAACTGACCTTCAATTTTTAATTTATTCACAACATTGCTCAAGTCAAAGCATTCCACTGCCTAGTTTCCTTTTCCTTTACCTTACTTTTGTAACTTCTTCTACAGCTGATATAAAACTGAAAACATACTATTAGTTAGAATGTCCAATGAAAAAGCCAATGTCCAATGAAAAACAAAATATTTTAATTACGACATATTAGGAAGGGAATACATAAGATAGTGCATAGAAAACATTTAGTTTATAAGCAGATGTCTTTTCTTCTATGTTAAAAACATGAGGCTGGCTATGTATTGGGTCATGGCCAGAGAAATCCCTGATTGCCACTGTAAGTCAGTCAGATGTTACCGACCCAAGAGATAATTTAAAAGAGTGCTGAATTTATTCTTAAAGAAATAGATGACTTCTAAGACCTAAAAGAAAATATTTAATAGAGGCTATTTAACTGTGCAAAGTAGCTTAAAGTTGATATACCACTGTCCGAGTCAAGACATATTTACATAGCATTCACATACGTATGTTCCACTTACATATATATTTCTAGATAATTATAGCTTATTTCTTAAAATATGTATGTATTTTATATATATGGGAAATTATGGAGTAATCTTTTTTTTTCTACTTTTTTTTTTCTGAGGAAGATTCACCCTGAGCTAACTCTGCTGCCAATCCTCCTCTATTTTCTATGTGAGCCGCCCTCACAGCATGGCCACTGATAGATGAGTGGTGTAGGTCCTTGCCTGGGAACTGAACCTGGGCTGCCAAAGCAGAGTGCACTGAACTTAACCACTAGGCCACCGGGGCTGGCCCTGGACTAACCTTAAAAAGCATTCTATCTTCCTAAATACAACACAAACATCATCTTACCCATTTCGAATAACTCATAAATGTTTATGCTATGTCGTATAGTTATGCTCTCAAGAACTAATGGAGATAATAGGCTATAACCTACAAGTAATAAAGGCCCTGCTGGCCCTGCTGTGCTTTTTAGAACTTGCATTTATTTTAATAGGATTTATTGTTAGTGGGCCTGCTTTTGGCAATCTCCTTTTCTAATTTATTCATTTCAATCTATTACCGATACAGCAAAAGCAAAGCAAAAATGAATAAGCTGACAGGGTTACCTTTGAGTAACAAACTGTACTTTAGTGCAGAGGCTCCCTGATAAATACTTTTGTTTATTACTTATTGGTTACTGGCTTTGTTCCAGGTAGCTGAGTTTGCCAGACGTGTGACTCAGCACCAGTTAAGTATCACTACATATAAACACGAGACACGTTCCGTGAGTCATCACTATACGCTGTGAGTTAAGAACACAGTTTCTGTAATGAGTGGTCCTAGTTCAAACTCCAGCTCTTCCACTTACTAGGCTTTACTGACCTTAGGCATGTTACTCATTAAATTAAGCCTCAGTTCTATTGTCTATAAAAAGAGGCTAATAATAGACCATACTACAGGATTGTTGTGAGGATAATATAAAACATCACGTGCTAGGCAGAGAGCCTGGAACAAAGTTAGCTGTAATTATTATTACCACTACTACTACAACAGTTACTCAAAACCACACAGGCACGCTTAAGAAGCTTAAGATAGAATCTCTACAGTTTAGAAAATAGTATAAAAGCTTAAGACTGGATTTCTGTACTATGGAGAATAGAGCATACATACTTACAAGAAATCTGTACAAAATAGGATCAAATGTGGAGTTACACTTTTAATAAGCATTTTCAAATGCAAAGGCAGCCACTGAATTATTTGTACCAATAAGTTCAGCAAGGTTACAAGACACAAGATCAATATGCAAAATCAATTATATTTTGATACACTAGCACTGAACAATCCAAAATGACATTAAGAAAACAATTCCATTTACAATAGCACTGAAAAGAATAAAATACCAGGAAAAATTTAACCAAACAAGTATGAGACGTACAGTGACAACTACAAAATCATTGCTGATAGAAATTAAAGATCTAAATAAATGGAAAGATATCCTATGCTCATGTTTCAGAAGTAATATTAAAATGTAACACTCCTCAAATTGATCTACAGAATTAACAAAATCCCCATCGAGATCCTAGCTGCCTTCTTTGCAGAAACTGACAAGCTGATCCTAAAATTCATATGGAAATGCAAGGGACCAGAATAGTCGAAACAATCTTGAAAAAAGAACAAACTTGGAGGATTCAATTTTCCTAATTTCAAAACTTACTACGAAAGTACCAAAATCAAGACAGTGTGGTACCGGCATAAAGACAGACATACAGAACAATGGAAGAGAATTGAGAATCCAGAAATAAACCCTCACATTCATGTCAAATGGTTTTTGGCAAGGGTGTAAAGACCATTCAGTGGGGAAAGAACAGTCTTTTGAACAAATGATGTTGAGACAACTAGATATCCATATGTGAAAGAATGAACTTGGACCCCTACATCACACTATACACAAAAATTAATTCAAAAAGGATTATAGACCTAAATATAAAGGCTAAAACTATGAAACTCTTAGAAGAAATCACAGGAGTAAATCTCCTTGGGTTAGGAAATGATTTTTCAAAAACCACAAGCAATACAAAAAAAAATAATAGATAGGCTGGACTTCATCAAAATCAAAAACTCTTATGCTGAAAATGATACCGACAAGATGAAATGACACCCCACAGAATGGGAGGAACGATCTGCAAATCACATATCTGATAAGGGACTTGTATCCAGAATATATAAAGAGTTATTACAACTCAATAATAAAAAGAAAAGTAACCTCATTAAACAATGGGGAAAGGATTTGAATAGACATTTCTCCAAAGGTATACAAACAGCCAATAAGCACATAAAAAGATGCTGAACATCATAAGTCATCAGGGAAATGCAAATCAAAACCACAATGAGATACTATTTCATACCCACTAGGATGGCTATAATCAAAAGAACAATCACAAGTATTGGCTAGGATGTATGGAAATTAGAACTCTTATACATTACTGGTGGGAATGCAAAATGGTGCAGCCACTTTGGAAAACAGGTTGGCAGTTGTTCAAAAATGTTAAACATAGAGTTAGGTTATGACCTAACAATTCCACTCCTAGGTATAAACACAGAGAATATAAAAACATATGTCCACGTAAAAACTTGTGCACTAAATGTTCATGCCAGCATAATTTACAACAGTCAAAAAGCAGAAACACCACAAATGTCCATTAACTGATCAATGGCTAAACAAAATGTGGTTTATCCACAAAATGGAATATTATTCAGGAATAAAGTATTGATACAAACTACAACACGGATGAACCTTACGCTAACCAAACGAAGCCACTCAGAAAGACCATATATTTTATGATCCCATTTATATGTAATGCCTAGAATAGGCAAATCTACAGAGATAAAAAGCAGATTATGGTTGCCTAGGTTAGGGAGATGGGAGTAGGGGAAAGTGAGAAAATGGGGATGACTGCTAACGGGTACAAGGTTTCTTTTTGAGAATGTTCTAAAATTAGATTAATTAGATTTTGGTGATGCTTACACAACTCTACAAACATACTAAAAGCCACTGATCTGTATACTTTAAACAACAGAATTTTATAGTAGTGAATTATATCTCAATAAAATTGTTTTAAAAAAAGCAGAGGCAACAATTCTGCAAACCAAATTTGATATCATTTCTTTGTATCTTAAAATCTGAACCCAACAGAAGAAGATTTACATATTAACAAAAGAAAACAAAAATATTTCAAAAAAGGAGTAAGAACTTACAAGTAAACACTGGTATTTAAAAGCTGTATTTAAAAAATGCTTAGACAGGGCCGGCCCCATGGCTTAGCGTTAGCGGTTAAGTGCGAATGCTCCGCTACTGGCGGCCCGGGTTCGGATCCCGGGCACGCACCGACGCACCTCTTCTCTGGCCATGCTTAGGCCGCATTCCACAGACAGAAACTAGAAGGATGTGCAACTATGACATACAACTATCTACTGGGGCTTTGGGGAAAAAAAAAGGAGGAGGATTGGCAATAGATGTTAGCTCAGAGCCAGTATTCCTCAGCAAAAAGAGGAGGATTAGCATGGATGTTAGCTCAGGGCTGATCTTCCTCACAAAAAATAAATAAATAAATAAATAAAAAATAAATAATTAAATAAATAAAAAAATGCTTAGACAGAACTCAACCAGAATGTCTCTAAAAGGCACTCCTCACAAGACACGAATATCAAAAAAACAAGAATAAAGAATTTAAATAACTTCTACATCTGTAACTCATTATAGATTTAGCTAAATCTTACTCCTACATCAAAAGAAATCAAGAAAAAAAGAAAAGAAAGGAAGAAGACTTAAGATTCACACTCCTTGAACCCAGTACTGTATACTCAACATAATTCAGGTGAGAAAGTATATTGATAAATGCTCAAATCATTTTCAAAGGGTATTCTCAGTATACTATATTAATTAGAAAATTAAAATAACCAAATACGTTGCATCTGATTAAGTAAAACTTAAATCTAAAATAATTCTCTGTACATTGGAAAACTTAACACTATTAGGGAATAATTTCAAAATGTTAAACTATGTTCTTTCAACCAATATCATCATTAATAAACTTGAGTATAACAAGATGACCACAGGACAGTTTTATAGGAGAAAATGCCCATACAAACAAGCTGACTTACTGTTGCAGTTATGTCATCTCTCTTCAGCTCTTTTGGCTTGAGAAAGTAAGCGCCTATTGTAGATCTCTGATAGTTCCAGGTGGAGCATGACAGCTTACCTTGATGGCAAGCAATGATACCATCCCACTCACTTTCACGAGCTTCCTCTAAAACGTAATTAAAATCATAAAAATCAAATTGCTTTTCATTCCCTCATTCATTCATCTATTATTTATTAAGCATTTAATATTCCATGTTATCATTAGGCACTAGGGACATGATAGTTAACATGTAATTCCTGATAGCTATGAGCTTCCTATCTAACAAGAGATTCTGATTAGAAGAAAATTATAAGAAATATGATAATGTCTTATAAGAGCACTCAGAAAGAGTTTACTAAGAGATTTCGGGAGAGTAATGAATGGCTCCTAAAAGAAGCAGTAAAACAAGCAGAAATTAACAGGGGGGAGGGATGGTGGTTTACATGCGCAAGCGTAACTTGAACAAAATCAAGCGCAAATAAGTGAACCATGTTCTTGAGATAGGTGGCAGGAGAGCAAGACAACTGGGGCCACATTACAAAGGGTCTTGAATGCCACGTCAAGCAGAGGAGATTCCACCTGAAAGGTAGTAACGGGCCACTGAAAGATTTTTAAGCAGATAAGTGACATGATTCAGACGTTTTAGAAAGAGCACTCAGGCTCTAAGACAGAAAATAGACAGGAGGGTGGTCAAAATTAAACTTCAAAAAAAAAAAAAAATCAGGTTGTTATAATAACCTTGAAAGGGAAATGGTACCTATACAGTTATTTCCTGATAGTTTTCACTCAACAATCCCATCACTTATGTGTATTTTTCTTAAAATCACTTTGAATGAAGCACTGCTCAAATGACACAGCATACTAAGACTTCAGTGTATTTAGATCTTTATTAAATTAGTCAGAGCTGTATATTCTCAGTTCTTTCCTTTTTACATTAGTCTATTACTATACCAAGCATATGATAGAATAAAAAGAAGGGCTACAAAATGAAATATCAAATATTGTTTATTAATAGCTCTTATAGAGAAAAGCTAAGCCTGAAATTAATAGATAAGTTCAAATTATAAATAACTCATTTTTAGTCTTCACATAAGATGAGCATGCACTTTGGGTTACTTTCTGGATGCTTATTAATATTTGCAAAAACATTTATTAAAATGGAGGAAATAAATACATAGCAGGAAATAAATGACAAGGCAGAACTTCTTGAAACACAATTATGAAGTTACTTACCAGCTGCAAACTTTGTGATGGGTGAAAGTCGCACTGACATGGTATTCTGAAGTCCTTTACGTTTGACTCTCTTTTTATTTATTAATCCTGGGGTTGGGGGAGAAGGGAACATAGCTATGAATCCTTCTTAATAAAAAACGTACATAAAAGAAAAACTATTCATTGTCACAAACTATAAAGTTTGAGATACTCTTGTATAAGTTAGGAGCAAAATAAAGATGATGTTATTACCACTATTATTTAGTTGTCTGTGATGTTTAGCCTACGTAATTAGATGAGAAAATAAACTACAAGATAAAAATAACTGAAAAAAGAAAGTAAAAATATCACTGTTTGCAGATGATATCATGGTCATATAGTCATGTCAATCAAGAAAAACAACCAAATAATTATTAGAATAATAATTTCCTTGGACCAGATACAGACCAACACACAAATCAGTGAGTAACCCCACAATGCAGCAATATTTAATATCATTATAATATATAATATTGCATTATATTCTAACTGCAATACTATTATCTGCATAATAATATAGCAGTTAGCAATATAATGAACAAAGATCACATTCATAATATTAATAAAAAATATTAGCAAATTATATTAAAATGTTTAATACACCAATGAATGATCTTAAATATGTAGGACCAACAGGAGGAAAACTAAAGAAAACTTCACTGAGGAACATAAAAGACAACTTGAATGAGGATATAGCATGTTCCTAGATGTGAAGATTCTTAAAGATATCAAATGTCTCCAATTTAGTTCCAAGAGGAATTATTTTGGATATTGATTTAAAAATGATCTTGAAATTCATGTGGAGGCAGATATATGCATGAATAGCCAGGATATTAGCTTAAAAAGAAGAGTAATTATGAATAAAACTGAAAAACATTTTTGTTTAATAAAAAAATCTTTCGGGGTCGGCCCCATGGCTAGCGGTTAAGTGTGCACGCTCCGCTGCTGGCGGCCTGGGTTCGGATCCTGGGCGCACACCAACGCACGGCTTGTCAGGCCATGCTGAGGTGGCATCCCATACAAAGCGCAGGAAGATCGGCACAGCTGTTAGCTCAGGGCCAGTCTTCCTTAGCAAAAAGAGGAGGACTGGTATGGATGTTAGCTAAGGGCTGATCTTCCTCACAAAAAAAAAAAAAAAATCTTTCAAATGCTGGAAACCATGGGAAAGGAGAGAGAGTAAAGTTAGAACCCTTTTGGCAAAAAGATGGGACACTGCTTAGTTTGATGTTTTCTCTAAGTCCCTTCCATCTTTAAAATTCTGCACTCTACAGATGGCTCAAGTTAGACAATCAGTGTCTTTTGGGTGGCAGCAGTATGTTTTTACCACTCAAGATGTCTAACTCTTTTCAATAACCCTATAGCAGCACTTCAACCACTTCTATAGCAACGTTGATATTGGGAATCTTACTACTACTCTTTCATATAAGGTTTTTTTATTTCGTTCAAGAAAAGAGAAAATTTATCAATGAAACCTCCTCTAGTTGTCTCACAGAATCTTGAAACGTTGTTGTGATCACTAGCTTTTTTTCCATCCTGCAAGTGACCTACCATGTCCCAAGCTCTTGTTAAATTTTTCATGTATCGTGGAAAATGACTGAAGAGTTCCATCTTGGCCTGTTGATATATACGGAAAATTGCTAATCAAGCTTCATCAAAACAAAGGACCAACTGAATCACAGATCTTATGAAATTAGATTCTATAAAAAGCTTGAACTTACAGTTTGGGGTACTTTTTTAAAAAGGAGCGCCAGATCGCAACAACTTCATTATAAAGATTAACTGTGCACAGAACGCCATTTGGCAAGAACAAAGGATAACATGAGGTACTAATAATTTTCAACAGATTATTAGAATAGGCAAGGGTCACATTTTCAGAATCTGACCATTACGTCTCTGAGGATTAGTAAACAGAATGACACTCCAAGTGAAGATAATATTATCTACAGTGCTTCCTGAATTATTCAAAAAGAATCGCCTCATTTTACCCAGGTTTCCAAGTCACTCAAAGGGACATTTGAATCTAAAAATGTGTAAATACCAAACCTAATAAATATTAAGCACCTGCTCTTACGACTTGCTGGAATAAACTAGTAGTACAAAGCAGAAGCTCACTTGCGCTAAGAATTTGCTGTCCATTTTGTCCATAATATCTGATTGTGGTAAGAGGAGCACTATGTCCCATTCTGAATCTCAAAAGCCGGCCTTCACCTGTGGGACCATCAAATATCCATATCTGCCAAGAAATAAAAAGGTAAGCTTCTTCCACAATGTGTTAAGTCACCTGCAAGCAGTCAAATCACCTTCTCCGCAAATCAACCGGCACTGCATATTCTCGCCAGGCCGCTGACGCTGGAGTGGGGGCTGGGAGAGAGAGAAGCTCTAACTCTTTCTCACTTCGTTGCAATCATGTAACCTGCTGTGCTTTTTGTTTCATCTACACCAACATTTCATCTCGTATTCCTTTCAACTTCTAAGTTCAAGGCTGATACATTAAAGCAGGCTTATAAGAACCCAAAGGGTAGGTCGGATAAGCCAGGAAGATGATAACAATAATCATAATACCCTGAGAGCATTGTCAGCGCCATTTGTGACAAGAAGTGGCTCTCTATGGAGAAATGTCAGTCCGGCAATTGCTGTAGAATGTGCATTTCTCATTTGATTGATTAATTTTTTGTCTTCTAGATCCCAGAGTCCAATATGGCCACATGGACTGCCAGCTGCCATTATTGGATGACCATCTGTTAATAAAATAAGATACATTAAGAAAAACATGTACCACAAGACAACTAAACTTAACAAGTCTTCTTTCCACCCTTTTAATCCATAAATATAAAGTTAGAAAAGACTGTACACCAATAATCTATCCATATTCCTTTGGCTCTTGATACCCAGTATTTCATTCATTTTTACTAGATTAAATTACAAGAAAACATCTATTAAGAAAATTTCTATGACCTTCAAAGTAATGCATTCTAAGTGTTCTTAACTCTTATCAATAAATAAGTTAAAAGTTACCTGTGCGAAATGAAATGGAAGTAATAGGTCCCCAGTCTTGACGAAACTTCATTAATGTTTCATCAAACTTAATGTTGTGAATGATAACCTGACCCGACATGAGACCAACAGCAACAACATCCACAGCTGGTGCCTAAAAATTAAATTACTCAACTTTTTATTTTCTTAATCAAAATAGCTTTAATAATCCTGATGATATGCATCATTACTTATGTGTTATCAAAAGAAATAGTGGAATATCTTCCTGAAGGTGACAAAAAATAGTAAGTATTACCAGTCTAGCATTCTTCAATTGTTATTTAGCATGGAAGTATTTAGGAATGATATTTTCAAGTTACTTCCCAGATTCAAATCTGGTAGTCACTATTACCTCCCCACCCCCAAAACATGGCTGCCTTGGTAAGAAAACAACCATAACAAAAAAGAAAGGTGATGTGTGAAATCACTACAGATCATTGACTGGATGGAAACAAAAAAAAGAGACAACTCTTAGAAAAAACACATAAAAGGCTTGCCATGTGCAGGGCAACACAAAAGGCCAACTACAAAGGAAGTGAAGAATTGTTTATCCAAGGAAAACAGGAAAAACCTATAAAACATGTTAAAATGCAAAGAAGTTTTACAATTAGTCTGTTCTAGCTCTAATATTCTATGATTATAATCTTCATTTTATACAATGGTCTTACATGCAGACTCAATAATAAGTTTCTCTTATCTTAGCACAGAAGATCAATGTCCAATACCACTACAGAATGGAATTAAGCTAAACATTTTATCAATTTGCTATCAAATAACTACTGTGCATGAGACCCTGTGTAGAAGCTGGGGATACTAAAACAAGTATGATCCCTTGCCCTCAAGGGACCTAATCATCTGATACCTTTGGGGTCTTCTGGGTAGGCAAAAGCAAAGCAAGGTTGATGGTAGTGCAGTGAGAAAGGAAGGAATGGATATAAATTGGGCAGGTATAAGCAATGGATATGCATAAAGACAAGGCACACTGGCTGTATATGTGTCCAATATCCATGTAAGATTCTCTGCAGACATATATTCATTCATTCATACATGTTTTGTGGACTCATAAAAACAAAAAGCAGTTATTTCTGGAAGAAAGCAGCATTTAATTAAATATTAGGATTTGGGCCCCAATTGTTTCAAGCTACAAATCTCAAAATCCTAACAAATCTCTCTGTATGTGCTATAATCTCCCTTGCTTCACTGAATAATTCATCTCTACTCTGTACAAGACACTGGACAACATGCTTGCAAAATATTAGTAAATACGGTTCCACAGCAACCACAGGTTTAGAGCCTAATTCCAGACAATAGGGCTTCCACAGATGTTTACAGGCAAAGGCATTACTATTTGTTTTCAATTGCATTTCCAAAACACTGTATCTTAGGGTAATATTTATAAAGATAACCTAGTCTACATATTATTTTGTCTTTATGTCTAAAAATATGGTTAACCCCAGAAACTGAAAGATCCTACTACTAACTTCATTTCCTCTTTGACTTAACAAAAATACTAACCTGCTGAAGAGCTGTCACTCCAACTTTCCATCCTGGAAATGTATACAGAAGTTTACTACAAGAAGAAAAATAGTTCAAAGTCTTTTTTTGTGTGTCTGTGGGAGGAAAACAAACTCAACTGCATATTAAAAAGTGAAATAATAACAGGTGATATTTGTTAAGTTCTTACTCTGCCCCACACTATTCTAATTACATATATTAACTTATTTAATACTCAAAACAATCCCATGACGTAGATACTATCACTATTTTACAGGTAAAGAAACTAAAAAACTTAATTATGTGAAATAATTAAGCTAAGCTCACAGGGCTAATAATTGATAGAGGCCAAATTCCAAACCCCAAGCTGCTCATTACTATGTTATGCCACCTCTTTAAGAAACTAAATAGAGAAAAAATAAATACATGAGTAAAAACCATTTTATATTATAGACTACAATAAAAAACAATCTTAGAATATAGGCGGATCTCATTTTTCACTGCAATGTATTTCTACAAACACATCATAAAAGGGAATATATTATTAATACAATACTACTCATATGTTATAACTGTTATATGACAATAGTGATGCTGCTCTAAATTTCCAAATCAAGCCAGGAATGATAAATAAGTCCAGGGAGCAAACAGAGATATCTGAAATTGTTATTATGATAATCAATAAAGTATTAAATCACGTATTAAATTCTGTAAGTAGGCACAGATTAGTTCACTCAGTGAATATTCAAGGGATAGTTACTGTACAATAAAGAGTGTAAACATCTAACGAGTTAACCTTAGGGGCAGAGACGATATCTCAGCCATTATCCTGAGCCCAGCACAGAGTAGGCAGTGATATTTGATAAATTGATATATATAAAATGATATTTGTTAAATTGAATGGAAACACTGATTTAAAACTAAGAACCAGGATAAACATTAAACCACTGATAATCTTATTTTCTATTTTGATTTTGTAAGGGCTTTGAAAGGGACAGTTTGAATGGTCAAATATTTTTGTTTGCTTTGTAAATGTTAGAAGCCTTAGCTGCCACTTTTTCTATGGATAAATGTTCAAATAATAGGTAGAAGTATTCAAAATCATTTATCTAGCCCTCCAGCTATACTAATAATATTATAGCAGATGACTATCATGTTTCTGACTGAAGCACTTTTACCCTGAAAACCACTTCTAAATGCTAGCACTAAATTAACACTGATTTGCTCTGCCTTCTCTTACCTTCTTAGTTTATCAAAAACTAGAAGCTGCCCAGTGACAATCTCATAACTAATTATTTTTTGATCTTATGTTACTTTACTAGAGCCTTCTCTATGGCTATATGGATTCTTTACAGTGACTAGGGCCATTAGTATATACTTGTCAATGGACATTTTTGAAACTGCCTACCATGTGCCAGGACCACATGCCAGTGTTCACATACGTGATGCCACGAGTAACTCCAACAATAGGTGTATTTACTGAAAGTCCTCCAAGTAAACATATAAAGGTAGGGAGAACTGAGAGTTTATGTATGCATTAGGGAGTAGTAGATGATGAAGTAGTAGTAGATGAAGATAAGGTAGGAACCACCTATGATATTTTCTGAATAAAATGCTTACTTGGATTTTACATTCCATAACTGTAGGCTTCCTTGTTCACTGCCAAGAAGTATTTTATTCAAGTAGGTACTCGGATGCAAAATTGCAGAAATTTTAAATACCGATTTATCGAAAGTCAACTGCAGGTATTCTTCTACAAAAGTGAAAGTTATAAATAACATGTAATTATTCTTTATAAAATGGTTTAAAATATTTTTCATATTCTCATATACTTATCATGTAAAGTAAGTCGACCATATCAAACATTTATATAGTAATATAAATCAGACCTTTTATATAATAACCTGTAAACATCCCTTGAGAAATTAAACAAATGTGTTAAGTGACAACTTGTAAATGTAATTTAGACTGTCAAAATTTTTCTACAAGTTCTAATATCAATACTATTAAAAATTTTACTCACCAATTTTTCTAATATCAATACTATTAAAACTTTTACTTTTATAAGTAACCAATATTGTAATCAATACTATTACAAATTTTCTTTCCTGTAAGCCAAATTGGTTTATAGGAAAGAAAAATAAGGATTAAGAAAAACACGACGCTTGGGATCGGCCTTAATATTTTTGTTATTTGATCAAGAGGCCGAGTGAATGTTCCAAGCGAAGTGCTTGCACTAAGCTCTTCCAGGGAGTGAAGAGCCAAATATCTGGTGAAACTAGAACAATGCTTCTCACACACTTCCACAGAAGAACCTCTAAGAGAGGAGAGGAAAAGAACTTATAACCCCATGGAGTGGGGAATGGCACAGCCAGTAGTCACTTCAGACAAGATCAAAACAATTTTTGAAATCTTTACATATGTTTAAAATTCCTATGTGTGAATTTGGTTTTCTACTCCACAGTTCATGAATGATTAAAACAATTTTTCACTAAATCTTCCAATAAATACAAGTACCAAAGAAGGTATACTTCATTTAATCTTTAGTTTCACATACTATCCAGCACACTGCTGGATATGTATATCCCAGAGGTATGTGTATCCCAGTTTAAGAAGTATAGATACAGATTAAAATTATACAAACTTTACTTTCAACACTATTTTAAAAGATACAGGGGCTGGCCCAGTGGCATAATGGTTAAGTTTGCGTGCTCTGTTTCAGCAGCCCAGGGGTCGCAGGTTCAAATCCCAGGCACGGACGGACGCACTGCTCATCATGCTGTGGTGGCATCCCATGTACAAAAAATAGAGGAAGATTGGCACAGTTGTTGGCTCAGAGCCAGTCTTCCTCAGCAAAGAGAGGAAGGTTGGCAACCGATGTTAGCTCAGGGCCAATCTTCCTCACCAAAAAAAGGAAAAAAAAAAAGATCCTTGCCTCTATTTGTAACTAGCAGTTTTACTTAAAATCACTGCTAACAGCTCCCCGAAGACAGTGGTTCACTGTGCTGCTGTAACAGTAACAAAAAGCTGGGCGTCAGCATCAAGAGAAAGCCTGCTGGACTGTGAGAATCAGATTCTCTAACTTTATACGAGGCCTTTTAACATCCATCTACACAGAGACTACTTTTGGAATTCTGTTCCCTCTACTTGAGCAAAGATAAAACAGAGAAACAAGTGACTAACTTAACAAGAACATGAAATAACGCTTCGGAGGCCAATCTCTAGGATTTTTACTATAAATAAACATACTGAAATGAACAATGAGTTAATCGAGGTTACATAAGCTAAAATATATATAACATAAAATAATGTAATTCAACTAGCTGACTAAAATTGCTTATCTATTTTTTTTACCTAGAAACTTTTTCCTTATACATGTTACCGCTTACATGTGAAACTTCTGGTCTAGAAGCATGTTTACACGGGTTTTTAGTTTTAGCTACACACATACTATCCCAAGAAAAAGCAATAAATTAGTTAATTCTTACCTTCTGAATATATGTGCCAAATAATAAGAATGCTGTCAGTATCAACAGAGATAATGTGATCCCCAAAGGGTTGCAAAAGATGGATGTCTGCCTTATGACCCTTAAAGGTGTGTACTACCTATAATGTCAAGGTTTAAAAGAATTTCATATTACTCAGTCATCACTTAATATTATTCATATTAACCAAAAAACATGCTAATCCTGAAGATGCTCATGTTAAGAAATGTAGTCCAACTTTTGATTATCTGAGGTTAGATTAACAAGTAGCATAGAATCAGGCATTTTTCACCTGCTCCCCCAGCCAGTGCAATAAGGAAATAAAGCAGGGACTAGGAAGACAGAAACGAGACCTCTGAGGCTCAACCTCCCAACAGAGCTTAAGGTGGGGGCATGCATACAGAGTCCCTCACCCAATCCAACCAGCACAACACCATGAATCCTAGAAAAGTGGAATGTTCTAGAAAGCGAACCTCTACAGATTCCATCACCAGCTGGCTTCCAGATGAGATGGGGGAGGGAGATATATGGTATTTCGTCCCTATACCTTTCTGTTTTGTCACAGAGACTCTCATCCTCAGAGTAGCTGCATCCCTCACTAACTACAGCCCCTTCTCCACGGTTTCAGTTCTCACCAGGATCCAGTAACACTAGTCTTCTCCTTGTCCCTTTAGCCTCAGGGGTAGTAACAGCTTCCCATAGCTGTTAGTCTCTGATGCCTTCCCACCCCATTCTATCTCCTCCAGAAAAAACTACAAACTGCACAATACTTTGCAAAAAAAACAGACATTTTTCCTGACTCTCTGAAAACCCAAACAGGTAAGTTGCCTTCCTCTGCCACAGGTAGTGATGACGGAGGACTTTGGGAAAAAACATCAGTCCAAGTCAAACCAGACTAGTGATTCCCTCACTTAGCTATCCAGGCATCCCCATTGCCACTTTCCTTTCATTCTGAACCACTAGAGCCGGGTCATTTCTCAAGCTAGTTGTCCCAGGACAAACTGAGAAACCAACTGGTAGATTAAGACAAGAAAAGATCCTTCCTTAGCAGTGGAGAAAACAGAGAACCTAGCTTTCTCTACATAGGAAACATGTACTTGGTTCTTAGAAAAGGAGTTACGGACTAAGTTGTTTATAATGAAAAACCCAATCCACATACAGCAGTGTGCAAATATGAATCTCCCAGGAAAACAGTTTCAAAATACACATAACTAAATCCCACCCCAACCAAATACACAAGGAGAAAGCTCGAGAGATGGGATCCGACTGGAAATGAAAAATTTTAAGCTGCTGCCCAAATAGTTCTGACATTCATCCTGGCAAAGAAAACTAAACTAAAGCACTAGTTTTAACTAATTTTGAGAATTTGATAAAATCAATTTTCTTTTCCTCCAGAAAACTGAATATGTATTTTAAAAAAAGTACATGTCCAGAATGTCCCAGATGAAGAATAACAACATTAAAGTTCCCTCCACTCTCATGGCAATCACTCACTCACTGCAAAAGACAATTTAAAATAGTTTCGTGATACAAACCTCTTTATTTCGGGCAAATGCAGAGAAAACATTTCCATAAGCAGCAAAGACTAGCTTCCCATCAGCTGCCATACAGCAGATATCCTGTGGAAGAGAGTTACCTAGGAAAAAAGAAATATAAAAGAAATTAAAAATTTTAAGGTTTTGGAACAGATAGAAACCTTAAGTATACGTATAACTTTTTTCATGGCTATAATTTAAAAATGTGTGTGTGTGTGTATATGTATTACATGAAAGCTGAGAATCAGAGTAGAAAATTTTTTAAGTGCTATTTTAGACATCTAATAATAACTATCAGACTGAGAATATGAAATCTTCTTGACCTTTCCTAAAAGAATAAATATCTAGCATTTGCAGACATAAAAATGTTGTTGTTGGTGCTGTGGAATCAATTCTGACTCCTAGCAACCCTGTGTACAGCAGAGAACCCTGCCCGGTCTTTTTGCACCATCCTCTCACCTTCCAGTGCTGTATCAGACAATGTTCTGCTGCTATTCACAGGGTTCTCATAGCTGATTTTTTTGGAAGTGGTTGGCCAGGGCCTTCTTCCTAGTCTATGTAGTCTGGAAGCTCCGCTGAAACCTGTTCACCATAGGTGACCCTGCTGGTATTTGATTTACCAGTAGCATAGCTTTCAGCATCACAGCAATACACAGCTGCCACAGTATGACAACTGACTGACAGGTGGTATGGTTCCCTGACAGGGAAACCAACCCCGGCCATGGCAGTGAGAGTGGGAAATCTCAACCAAACTAGACCACCAGGGTTGGCTACATAAAAACATAATCCTAAAAAGCTTTCCAAGGTTATTTGGAAAAAATCCTCACTTAATACACAAAACTCCAGCAGACCGTCATCCAGTCTTCATGTGAATGTCTTCAAGTTCCCCAATAACTCCAGGAAAATTTTAAAAGTAAATCAAATCCTAGAACCCAAACTCTACCCTTTGGAGGAACCTCAAAAAAACTCCATGATATTCCACATGCTGCCCCTTAAAATTAACAATATGGTTTCCACCCAGTCTTCTCCAAGGTAACTCTAGCCATTTCTCATATGATATTTCTTGATTCCTCTCTCACTATCATGGTCACCCTGGCCTTTTCTTTGTATTTCCTGTTTTGGGGGCAGGAGGGTTAGAAGATAAAAGATTGTTTTAAGTATTTTTCATGCTGCATATTTCATTTTGGGATTTCATTTCCAAAATACTATTTTTATAAGTTTATTATTCACTTTTGTATTCAACTTAGGTTATAGTGTCCTTCTTCTGCCTTCCGTAATCTTTTAAAAAAATGTAAGTTTATCAAACATACACACTGGATTTCTTATAGTTCTCCTCTGCTTTTCTTAAAGATGATATTTGATAGTGAAACTAGAATCTTTCAGCCCTGGCAAGCCCCTTATTCTATTACACAGTTTTCAAATAAATAAATATTCCTTCCACTGGAAAAAAATATCAAAACATGGGAAAAGGAAAAACTCTTCCTTACAGTAGAATATTGGAACCAGAAAATCACTATTTGGTAATCATCATACTAATAACTGATTCAGGCAAGAATCATCACTAAATGATAAAAGCAGTAGGTGAAACTCTGAAGAGAGACAGCATATTTACATAGTCTCAGTGTATCTCACCACAAGATCCTTACTAATTACAAATGGTAAAACTTTAAAATGGAGCCTCCTGACAGATGTCACTGGTTTTTTTGTGTGTGTGTGAGGAAGATCAGCCCTGAGCTAACATCCATGCCAATCCTCCTCTTTTTGCTGAGGAGACTGGCCCTGGGCTAACATCTGTGCCCACCTTCCTCCTCTTTGCTGTGCGAGACGCCGCCACAGCATGGCTTGACAAGCGGTGCCTCGGTGCGCGCCTGGGATCCGAACCTGGGGCGCCAGCAGTGGAGCATGCGCACTTAACTGCCACACCACAGGGCCGGCCCCGACAGATGTCACCTTAACCAAATAATCAAAGTTATCAATTCCAGGAACAGGACTAACCAACAGCATACGCTTCCTGATATGATTCACTGAGAATTCAGCACCACTTCTTTGTTATTTCTACCGTAGTGCATAACCTGAACCTAACCATGAGGAAATATCAGAAAAAGTCAAACTGAATGACATCTAAAAAAGAAATAGCCTATACTCTTCAAAAATGTCAATGTTGTAAAATACAAAGAAAGTCTGACGAACTATTTGGATTAAAGACTAAAGCGATATGACAACTGAATGCAACACGTGATCCTGTCCTGGACTTTATTTTTTTTCCTATGTAAGTTTATCAGAAAAACACACTGAATTCCTTGTATGTTCTATAAATCTTAAATTTATGCCAAAATTTAAAAAGTTACTAAACATGCATAAATTCAAGATAAAGTCTATACTTACTTACTGCAACCAGACTAAGTTTCTGAACCTGTTTAAAAAAAGAAAAAAATGATTAAATAAATTTTCATTAACAAAAACAATTATAATAACCTAACACTTGAAAATTAAGTCATACATAAATTTGCTATGCTATGGTTCCTAAAAAAGACACTTACTGACCCTAATTTTCATTTTTAGGAAAGCTTATATTTTCAACTATTTCATCAGGAGAGGTGATGGAAGGGACAAGCAAATGTTCTCTGTAATGAGCCATACAGTAAATATTCTAGGGCTTTGTGGGTTATGTGGTCTTTGTTACAACTACTCAACTGCAAATGTACCATGAAAGCAGCCACATATAATACACAAGCAAACATGTGTGGCTGTTATTCCAATAAACTCCATTTATGGATAGAGAAATTTGACTTTTATATAACTTTCATGTGCCATGAAATATTATTCTTTTGATTTTTTTCCCAACCTTTAAAAATGTCAAAGCTGCCCATCTCAGAAGCAAAGCTCAGATAACCAGGAATTCAAACCCCAGAGATGCAAGAATGCTAAGACTGAAAGGGCCCTTGGAGATCAATTAAATATCCTATATTTCTTAAATGGGAGTAGCTATACCTCCATCCCATGCCAAAATTTTATTATATTGTATCCCACTGCTGTGCAAATTTTACTCGGAGATAATGATGTTATATTAGAATAAAGACAAACAGACATGAAAAATAAATAAAAATGTTAAAACCATTCATAAGCTGTGCTTCACACAAAAACAAACAGTGGACAGGACTGGCTTGCAGGTCATACTTTCCTGACTCCAATCTATAGTTACTGATCCAGCTGTGTGACCTTGAGAAAGTTACTGAACCTCCCTGTGCTTCAAATTCATCATCTGTAAAATAAAGATTAAAATAGGTACCTACTTTATGGGATTATTATGAGGAGTCAATGAGTAAAATTTGTGTAAAACAGTTAGAATGGAGCCAGTCATATAGTAAATGCTCAATAAATGTTAGCTTTTATCACTACCACCATCACCTATCCACAACTTGTCTAGTGTCCCTTACAGAAAAAGCTAATCTGTAGGAAGTCTGACTGGGCACAGGAATATAGTCGTAGCCACGGGATAGAGCACTTGCAGATCAAACTAGAGGCTTAAGCTTAGTGCTTTTTTTTTTTACTCCCAGGTGATTTTCAGTTTCAAAAGTCACAGCCCACTACATTGGTTTGCTAAGCAGTGCACAGAGCCCTCAGGTAATAAGCATTTACGTGCTACGATGTTATGATAAGAGTAAATTTAAAAATGCATCACCAGTGTTAGAACTACAGGTTCATGTTTATTATGACTATGAAAATCATCTTTATTATGACTAAACTTCAAAGCACAGATAAGTAAATTGTTAAATTTTTATAGAATTTACCAACTATTCTCTCCTAATTATAGGGTTTCTTTGGAAGTAGAGCACAGGCAAAATGTGTGTGTGTGTGTGTGTGTGTGTGTGTAACACACAGTGTCAAGAAAGACACTGTGCCAAAAATAAGATTTCAACAGCTCTTTAAGTAAGAAAATTAAAAAAGTAAAGTTACATTTCCAGGAGGAAACTCTTACCAGCAAAACCAAAAGTTAGGGAGCAAGGAAGAAGTGTGCAGAATAGTAACAATAAATAACCCCAGGTGATGAATCATGTCATTCTAACCCACTCTTTCTCCATTACCAACCCAATCGCTCTCCACCCGGGGCACCACACCTAACTTTCCTCTTCCACTAACTCCACTGGCTCCCCACAGCCAGCTCTTCCTGCTATAACTCATTTGATTTTCACAATCTTTCAAGGAATACAATTTTTTTAAAGAACGGTTTCCGGAAAAGGAGCTTAATTAACAGTGGCTATTATCATCTCCTCATCAAGAAAAGGTCCTGCTTTCACAGAGCGTATGTTCATTTGGAGAAGACAAAAGAAACAAGTAAACAGCAACAAAAGACAATTTCAATGACCAATGAGATACTAAAGGGGAAAAACCGTTACTAACAAGCATGAAGGCCTTGGGCAAGCGACTTAATCTGAGTTTTAGTTTCCTAGTTTACATCAGGGTGCTACGGGATACATACCCTGCAAAGAAACTGCTGCAAGGCTTAGAGTAGGTGGCACCGCGCCAGACCCTCAGCGTGCGTAAAAAACAGAGGCTCAGGGGAAGTTTAGGGAAATTAGTCTGCTATCAAATGTGGACAGCCCCTAAACCATAATTACTCTCACTCTCTCTAGTTCTCCCAATGCACTTTAGTCTGAATTTCTAACCCAGCTTGTGTCATCCACTGCACAATAAAATGGCTTGCATGTCTTTCTCAGTAAAAAGGCGGGAGCTAGGGACTGGCCTTAATCACATTTACCTCTTTAAGGGAACCTCAATAAATATCTACTGAACAAATACATTGCCATAGAACTGGAACGTTCTCTAGTACTTTCCCCCGCCCAGACTGCCTCCGAAACTCGCCCCAAGTGGACTGCAAGGGCTAACTCGGCACGTGGCTGTGACGCAGTGGCGAAACTGGACAGGATGCGGTTAAGGAAGAAAAGGGCAAAAAGAGAAGTCCTCGCTAGGTGCGGGAGGAGAGCGGGACGGCCCGGGGCAGAGCCGGCCGGGGCAAGCGCGGGTTCCCGGGAAGCGGTCACTCACATCATAGGTGTGGAAGCTCTTGCCCACGCAGGTCGCCACGTAGAAGCGGCGTTTCAGCGCACTGAACCGCACCACGTGCGGGACGTCGTTGCTGAAGAGCCCCAGGGCCCGGAACCCCGCGAACAGCGCGCTGGCCGTGCGGGCCCCCGCGCCCCTCTCCATCGCCGCCGCGGTCCGCGTGCCTCTGGGCTCCAGTCCTGACGGAAACCCAAGCAGCCGGGCCTCGGCGCGTCTCGTGGCTCGATCCTTGGCCGGCGCTGCAGGCGCACAAGCGCTTCCGATGCCCGCAGCCAATCGCGGCGGCGGACACTGTCCTCGGTGCGACTGAAAAAGAGCTCCCTCCGGAGCTCGCAGGGGACGCGCGACTTCGGTTCTGCGGCCCGCACTCTCCAGCACCGTAACGATGCTTCCCAGCTCTGGTGGGGCTGGAAGAAACTCGAGTCACTGTTCAGCGAGACTTTGCGGGAGGGGAACGACAAGGGAAGGGTAGGAGGGAGACCAGAGTCTTAACCTAGATGGAATCAGGTTAAACATGTGGTTATGAAAACGTATAAAACCATGAGACTACCGAGAAAATTTGAACACTGGCTGGATTGATGATATTAAGAAATTATTAAGTTGGTGTATGTGATAGTATTGTGATTATGTTTTTAAAGATCCTTCTCTTTTGGAGATACACATTGACATTTGCAGATGAAATGATATATCTGGGGATTTGCTTTTAAAATAATTAGGGATGAGGGTCAGGGTTTAGAAGAAATAAAATTAATAATTTTTGAATCTGGGAATGATTATGTGAGAATTTATAATACTGTCCTAATGCTCCCATATAAAATTGAAATTTTCCATATGAAAAATATTTTTATTTGCTTTTTTACAGTTTGTCTACAGTAACAAAAGATTGGAATATCAATAGATTATCAATGTTTTACCTCAGTTATGGAAATACATATGATTTTAATTACTAGATGTACAGTTTTGTTTTGTTTTGTTTCTGTTGAAGAAGATCAGCCCTGAGATAACATCTGCCAATCCTCCTCTTTTTGCTGAGGAAGACTGGCCCTGGGCTAACATCTGTGCCATCTTCCTTCACCTTATATGGGGGTGCGTATAATGCAGGTGTTACTTCTATAATCAGAAACAGACTTCTGCGTATATTGGCAGTTTGGGGAGAAAATTGAAAAAGTTTCTCCACCAGGACTTTACAGTTCACAAAGCCTTTGACACCCATTTTCTTAATCTAATCCTCAGATTAAAGCTGTGAGATGTTTAGGGCAAAAATTATATTACTGTTTTACAAATGAGGAAACTGGTTCATTGGGGGTAAGTGATTTGTACAAAGTTCTAAGATTATTTAGTGCCAAATTCCAGACTAGCACAAGGTTTAGAGGAGGAGGAGAAGGGTAGATCAGTGAAGGACAGCTGGAGGTGGGAGAAATACGTATTCAGCAATCGTATTTTCAAGACCAAACATTGGGCCACATGATGGGAGTGGATTCGCATTAAATAAGAAACCCGAGTTTCCCAAAGATTACCCAACTTGTCCAGGGTCACTTAATTAATGGTAGTGTAGCAATTTGAATTTAGGCCTGACAATCAGATTTATATTCTTTGACCTACATCGGGACAGTGAGACAAAAGTTTAAAAATTAAAACTGTCATGGAAAATCTAATAGTATGGTAGCAGTAGATATGCATGTTAGCTATTGTGCTGTGATCTTTTAAAAGGAGGATGTTATGGGCTGATTGTGAGTTTTCCAGTCTTAAGTGTTGGCCAGAGTTCGTTTCCCCCCACCAGTTGCCTCCCTGAGTTACTTGCTATTCAGCTGCCAGCAAAGTGTGTGAATGTGTGTGTGGTGGGAGAAAAGGAACTAGCTATTACTCTTTTTACTTAGAGATGCCCCCAAGGACACTAGCACCGAGTTAGAATAAAAGAAGAGGTGGATGTAGTAGATCATTGACCAGTGATCATTTTCAATTTGCTTCAATGCATTGGGGCTTCACAATATTAAGGTAAATAAAATATATAGCTATGTCATGTTGTCATTTCTGACTTTTTAAAAAAGATTAAATATGACTTTCTGAGTAGTTTATGTAATAAATATCATTTTTCTTTTATTACTGACTTCATGTGTTGTGATCACCAGCCTCCAAGATGACCCTCAATGGTTCTTACCTTCTGGTATTCATGCCTCTCACACTGAACCAGGGTTGACCTGTGTAACCAGGCTAGGTCATAAAAGACACTTAAGCTTTTTACTTGCTCCCTCCTGGGTCATTTGTTCTGCAGGAAGTCAGCTGCCATGTTGGGAGGATACTCAAGGAGTCCTCTGGAGTGTTTCACATGACAGGGAACCTTCTGCCAACCACCAGCATTACCTTGCTAGACATGTGAATAAACCACATTGAAGGCAGATCCTCCAGCCCCAGTCAAGCCTTCAGATGACTGCAGCCTTGCTGACATCTTGACTGCAACCTCCGGAAAGACTCTGAGCCAGAACTACTCTATGAAGCCACTCCTGAATTCCTAAGTCTCAACTGTGTAACATAATAAATGTTTATTGCTGTTTTAGGCGACTAAGTTTTGGGATAATTTGTTACACATTAATACACAGCCAATATATTTATGCTTCTCTTGCTAATCAAATTTAGAAAGGCTTATACTTCATTTCATTGCATTGACAGAAGCATGTCAGAAATCCAAGGAAGTTTCAAGATCTTTCTTGCCCACCCTCTTATTTCGTAGGCGAGTGAACTACTGTGGCCCACAACTGTGAAATTAGATGGTGGAAGAGCGGGTACTACATACCAGTTCTCCTTATTCTCAATCCAAAACTCTTTTCACCTTGGGGAGCTGTTCGTTCTGGCTGCCCCATTTTTCCTCTGGTGGTGGAAGGTGTATGAAGAACATGTCTGTCACTGGTTCAGTAGTACCAGTAAAAGACACATTGCACTGAAGTATTGTTAACCAGGGTAGAAATAAGAGATTTTCTGAATCTCAGATCTATCTTTTCCATAGATAAGCTTGTACATTTCACTAAAATGTTGTAATGGCAATTTCTGCTCTGGAGTTTGGAGACTATGGGAAATGCCTCTGTTAGCCAGCCTTCTTGAGAAATGTCCTTTAAGTGTTGCAGCATAGAGAAACCTCTTTAGCAGGAAACGATTTATTTCAACTCTTTTCATGTAAATCCTCTTTTTTACATATCAGACATGACTTTCTCCTTTCAAAGTATAGGCATGCGCCCCATAACGTTTCAGTCGACAAGGGACTGGGTATACGACTACAACGATGATCCCATGAGGTTATAAAGGAGCTTAAAAATTCTCATCGCCTAGTGATGGTTTAGCCATTTTTAATGTTGTAGTGCAATGCTTTAATCATGTGTTTGTGGTGATGCTGGTGTAAACAAACCTACTGCACTGCCAGTCATATAAAAGTATAGCACATACACTTATGTACAGTGCATAATATTTGATAATGATAATAAACACCTATGTTACTGGTTTATGTATTTACTATACTATACTTTTTATCATTATTTTAGAGTGTACTCTTTTTATTTATTAAAAAAAGTTAACTGTAAAGCAGTATGCTGTGTTATTCTGGCAGCAGCCTCATACCTCTCATGCTTACTCAGTCTCTTGATTGGGTCCTTTTCTCTTGTGCTTGATTTAATCTCATGTTGTTTTGTTCATCATGGTCCCTAAGTGTACAAAATCCACTGTTAATGTTGCCAGTAAGAGGCCATGTCGAGTGATTAACCTGGAAATGAAATTGAAAGTGATGAAGGACTATGAAGGTGGAAAATCAGTGATGGTTATTGCTCCCCAGTCAGGCGTGTCACATTCTGCCACATCTACGATCCTGAAGAACAAGAACAAAGTGATGGAAGCTGTCAAAGGATCTGCTTCATTGAAGGCAATGAAACTAACAAAAATTCAAGAAGTGCCTATATCAGACCTGGAGAAACTTCTAATGACCTGGATTGAAGACCAGACACAGAAGGGTATTCCTCTTACCACCACGACAATCATAGCCAAAGCAAAGCGTTTGTTTGCGATGTTGAAAGAAAAGACTGGAACCCAGTACAATGTTGAATTTACTGCTAGCTCTGGTGGTTTAAATGATTCAAGAATCCTTATTCATTACATAATGTGAAAGTGAGTGGTGAGTCTGCAAGTGCTGATGTGAAGGCAGCTGAAGAATTTTTGGAAACTCTAGATAAACTGATGGTGGAGGAAAACTTCTTGCTGGAGCAAATATTCAATATGAATGAAATCTCTCTATTCTGGAAACGGATGCCTAAAAGGACTTCATCCATAAGGAAGACAAGTCAATGCCTGATTTCAAGGCTTTTAAGGACCAGACCTTCCTGACACTAAAGGACTAAGGGTAGCAAAAAAAAAAAAAAAAAAAAGAAAGAATGAATGAATGAAAGAAATTAACCTGTGAATTACCATAAAAGTTTTTACCTTGCATTAGGTCTTCATAATAGAATTATCTAGAGGGCTGGCGACGGCACAAGCACATGTTCAAAATGTGTCCACTACAATTAGAGCACATTTTAGGTATACAATAAACACAAAATGAGGACATTGTGGTTAGAGGCGTCCACCAACCTGCAGAATTGTTAGGAAGGCATGGGCATAATTCCCATGCTTATCTCATTGGTACAGAATCAGCATCCACTGTTGCAAAAATGCTCTCCCCGGAAGCAATATCTTGACCATCAAAGACCTTGCCAAAACTGGAAATTTGGAAGGAATAATGGGTTCTTGTAGTTCTCTTCCTTACCTCTTTTTGATTTGTCCTGCTATAAACCTCAAAAGACGTATAAAACTATATTTATGGGCCAGTTTAGAATTCTAAATAACTGTGTACCTGACTGGATGTCTGACTAAATTATCGTCACTGGTGGTGGTCAGTATGCAAAATCGCTGAGGTCCTACGACCCAATATTCTGATTCATAAAGGGAGGGGTGAGCTGCAGGAATCTGCATGTAAACAAGTTTCCCAGGTAATTATTATGCCGGTAGTCCACAGGCTACTTTGAGACCCACTGATCCTTGAGGAAATGGCTGGTGCAGTGATGCTGTTGGATGCTGGAAACTGATAAGATCATGGAATGTGTGCTGCCAGTACACATTGTCAGGGCTTCAAGTTCTCCAGCACCAGTTGAGAAAGGGATCCATTGAAATAATGCAGTCTTGAATTATGGAAAACCTCAGTTGTATATGGTCATGAAGCTCCTTACATTCACTCTGAAGTCTCCAGGCAAATTCCATGGAAATAAATAACTGAATCTCATTTAAGAATTATTAGCCACCCTTTAAAATAAGAACAGTGAGGCTTCTATTCTTCTGGAGGTTAAGGTTTATTTTCTAGAGACGTGAACCCTAAGTAATCCAGATTTGGACAGCAGGTACAGAAGGGTGCTGTAGGAGATGAAGTGAACATCACATCCTGACTGGTGGGTCCCCCAGTTCCTTCCTCATCGTGCTCCCAGAAAGCCAACCTCAGGTCAATATATACCTCCACATAGAAGACTGCAGGAAAGGTGAACAGTCCCAGAGAGAGGACCTACAGTACAGATGCTGCCATTTGTAGGTGCTGAAATGTTGTCACCTGAATGACCTTCATTTTATGCAAGAAATATTTGTTCAACATCTAATGAATGCCAGAAACTTCTGGATGCTTCTGATATTTCCATAATCAAAACAGATATACAGGACTTGCTTCAGACATACATGTAATCAAAACAGATGTACAAAAACTTACCCTCATGGAATTTGTGTTCTATAAAAGAGAGACAGACAGGGGCCAGCCCCATGGCACAGCAGTTAAGTGCACGCGCTCCGCTGCTGGTGGCCCGGGTTCAGATCCTGGGTGCGCACCAATGCACTGCTTGTCAGGCCATGCTGAGGCAGCGTCCCATATAAAGTGGAGGAAGATGGGCACAGATGTTAGCCCAGGGCCGGTCTTCCTCAGCAAAAAGAGGAGGATTGGTATAGATGTTAGCTCAGGGCTGATCTTCCTTGCAAAAAAAAAAGAGAGAGACAGACAATAAAAAATAAATGAACAATAAATTTAAAAGATGTTGATAAGTGTTCTGAAAAAAAGCATAGAGAGGGATAGAAAATGTCAGAGTTGCAATTTTAAATAGAATTGTCAGAGGAAATGCTGAGAAGGTGACCTTTAAGTAACAGAATTAGGATCACAAAATATATTTTTTGTATCTTACATATATTGTATCATGAGTATATTCTCATATAACTAAATATTGACAATATTATTTAATACTTATATATGTACATTTCATATAATGTTAATAAAACAAATGTCCATGTAACCACCATTCACAAAAAGACATTAGACATTGAGAGTAACTTGCAAGTTTTCCAAGTGATCTTCAATATTACATACCTATTTCTCTCTATTCAGAAATAATCACTACTGACTTTTGTGATAATCATTCTTTTGCTTTTTTATATTAAAAAATAACCATAATTTTAAATAATTATGATTAAATAAATATACTATATTTAATCAGGTCTTGTATGACATTTAGCTTGTTTCTAATTTTTTACTATTTCAACTTGGATCCTTGGATTACAATTTTAGTTAAGCTGTTGTTTCTCTGGGTAACTGTTACTCTCCAATTTTCCTATTAATCATATGCTTGCCAACAACACATCAAGAAATTAGCGAGAGAGCAATAAATGAATGAATATATGAGTGAGTGAATGAGCAAATAAATGAGTAAAAAGGTTATATTCTCAAAACAAGTCATCTTTTTATCTAAAGAAAATGTTGGTTGTGAATTTACATGATGTCGCATCCTTAAGAAACAAAACAAAACAAAAGTAACCCTGTGTCAAGTGCTCAAACTACATGAAAAGTCTGATGAAATGAAAGGAAAACATGTAATAACTAGTCCCCTCCCCACCATCACAGGGGCTGCAAATCAAAGATTCTGAAAGATTCCATTTTACAGGGGAAATATGCTACATTGAAAATACTAGAGAGGTCAGCTCTATTCCGAAAAAGAGCTTGGATGGAGAGGCTGATCTAAAAAAATAGAGTACTATAGAACAGGTTATCTTTCAAGATAAAACTTGTATCAGAATATTTCAAAAATAAGAAACTGATTTTCCTAAGAAAACTCTCTTGTTTTACCCCTACCCATCCTCCTTGCTCTCTAATCCCTTTATTTCTGTACTAGAAATGTTTGGGTCGGAAGTACAGAGAAACAAGGAAACTGAAAAACAAAATCTGGGGGGAGAGTGAAAGGAATCTAGGGTTGCTCACAGAACTAAAGGAAAAGTGAGAGAACCATGCTTCAGAAAGTATAGGAACCAGACCAGCTCCTACTAATAATCTCTTTTACTCTCCTTGTTTCTGCCACCTTGAGGCTGCTTTTTTGGGACCAGGGAAGGGAAAGGATGTGAAGGCATTTGTTATTTTGAATACTCAAAGTGGCATACGCACCCTACCCTTTGACTTTGTAAGTAGTTTCTGTAAAATGCCTTAGTTTTCAGTCCAAAGATATACATATATATTTTTTTTCCCTGAGGAAGATTCGCCCTGAGCTAACATCTGTGCCAATCTTCCTCTATTTTTTTTTTGTATGTGGGTCGCCACTACAGCATGGCTGCCAACACATGGTGTTAGGTTCGCGTCCAGGAACTGAACCCAGGCCACTGAAGCAGAATGCACTGAACTTAACCACTGGGCCATGGGGCCGGCCCCCCCCAAAGATGTTGCAGGAGAATTTCTCTGCAAAAGATAAAGAAATGAGATACATTATTCTTCTAGTTTCCCTCTTCTTTGGAAGATAGGAGTAGGAAAGAATGAAACATGAGAAAATAAATATACGAGAAGATATCAACAGACCAAACATGATTTTATGACAGTTGTTGTGAATGTGTTAAATTCCGCAGTTGAAAGATAATAATAATAAACTTAATTTGGGTCAAAGGCCAAACCCCAGTTACATACAAATACCATAGGCAGCATGCTGTTTGTACAGACTACAATACAAATACCATGGGCAAACCTAAATTAGAATTTTAGGTAAACAATAGCAAAACAAATTAAAAAAGCAATTTTACATTCATCAAAGCTACAGTTTAGAGTGAAGATTTAATCTCCATGAACCTTTATGTATTCAGTGACAGCATAAAGATAAATAAATAAAAAGCTGATAGGTGTTCCTGGGGAAACTGATGAACACAATTATCATGAAAAGCTTTAGCATTTGATTTTAAATTTTAAAGAAATTGAACAAGAATTTGGATAATTTGAATAAAAATATTGACTGAAGATAGCTATGGTGTGTTATACACAGAATACATATTTGTTAAATGCCCTTGAACATTTACAAAAATTAATTAAATAGGAGGTGATAAGGAAAATCTTAATATATTTAAAAGTTTCAGGAAATTGTAGCAAAAAACAAAAAAACCTTCATAGATTTCAT